GTCGTTGACATTCTTCACTAGCTGGATCATCATTGACTCAGTCATTGGTTATCTGGTTCTTGTCAGATGAGCATTGTTCTGACAAAAGTGAAATGTCTTGTGGTGCCGTGGAACATCTTGGAACATGGAACAGCAGTTGGGTGAATAGTACAGTCGTTGGCATTCTTTCCTAGCTGCATCATTATTCACGCTATTGTAACCGTTGAGAATTCTTCACGTGTTGGACTCAATAAATCGTTGCATTGTTGACGATCGTCTTTTGTTGGTAAACGAAAATAATACACCACTGCAATCGCTAATGCAATGCAGACGATTGGCTTTTTCTCAGTTTCATCCGTATATTTTGTTGTCCAAAAAAAGCTAAATATTTGAAAACACCGTTCAATTTCACGTTGACTGACCAAATTTCCTCCCAAACGTTTTAAACAGAATTCTTGAGCGTCTAGAATTGCATTACAAAGAGTATCACGTGTATATTCTTCAAGTGGCATATTCTGAATACATTTAACATGATACATTTCAATATTTCGTTCAACATACATTCTTGATTGACTGATTGGTAACGTACTGTAAGAACATTTTAGAAATTGCAAAGTTTGTGGTAAGTCATGTACAAGATAATCTCTTCGTTGAATAATATTTGACTGATCCGTTGCTGGTTTAGCTTGATTTCTTTCACTGTAAGAATTTATTGCTGCAGTGAAAAATATATTATTAGGTAATAATTGCCCACGTAGTGATCGATCCATAAACATCTCTTTGAATGATCCCAGACGAGATGATGTATTGACTTCATCAAAAAAAACTACAATTTCTATGATATTTTGTTTATTTTCAACAACTTGCAACTGTCTAGCAAGTGCGACAGTCTGTTTCATAAATTCTTCCAAACTTAACTCTGTTATACCTGGATGCAGAAGTAAACGATAAAATAAAGGTTTTACATTTGTAAAGTTTACATATTCTTTGAAGAGTTGTATATTATCGCTCATTTTTAATATATCTATATTCATTAACAATTGTTGCGAACGTTAGTTGGCTCTAACAAACACCAGCTGGCTAATCGAGGGGCAATATGTTCATACAACTGTGTTAATAACGTTTGTTGTAAAGTCAACGTTGATTGAACATCATTTGTAGCCGAAGCCGCTATGGCTGAGTGGTTATGTTGTTTGGCACGTACTCCACAGGTACTATGTTCCAACCTCGGCGCCACCCATTCATAGAATAACCTTGGACAAGTTACTAACGGCTATTATCTCGGATCACCCGTCCGATAGCATGCTCACTACGTTGTGACATACACTATTACTTCGGTGCTAGTATGTGGTTAGTGAGTGTGTATGGGGAGCTCGAGCAATTAAGCGAAACGAATTCTGTGTCAGACTGGCCTTCTGTCCAGAGCTACAGCATGCTTGATGACTAGTAGAAGAACGGGTGACCGTCTCGGAAGATCATCACCTGTAGGGAAGATATCGGGCTTATCGAAACTGCTTCGGCAGCACCCTATACCGCAAGGTAGACGCAAGGCGGGGTCTTCTTCTCCTTTGTAGTCGTAGTTGAATTTGATGTGAATATGTCGGCAACTAAAAGTATAATTTTCCACATCTTTTCGAGAACTAATGCCGGATATTCAAAGTTCTGTAAACACTTTTTAATTTGTTTTAATGATGTATTCATATCGCTTCCACTAAAGCTTTCGTTATCATCTCTTACATGGATTAAATTCA